CTATGTGAAGAACTACTGTACCACCCCGGAATCATTATTTCTGAAGCCATTCCAGTACCCAGTCATATCCTTTCTGTGGAACATATATAGAATTTGTGCACTTTCCCTGACAAAACAGTCAAAAGTTCATTAAAAAATAAAACAAACATTGGATAGAACTTAGAAACTGAGACACAGTTAAAGAACTCTGCACTTGTAGAAGGCAGCTGTTTAGTTCTACAAGAATCCTCAGAGAAAAGCATTTTATGCTTTTAAAGAGTAGGAAGTGAAAACTAGATTAAATCCTGGATGCGTTCCACATCACAGCAGGTATTCCAGAAAAAGTCTGGTTACCTCCTAATACCAGAGGCAATGATTTACCTCAGAGGAGAATGAGAACACAGAGTACTCATCAGAGTCACGTTCAGATTTATGTTTTATATTAGATTCCTGACAATATAGAGAATTAAGGGCAGTCAAAATACTATTAAAGTAGTTTCACCTAGAGAGGAAATGCTCTGTTGCATTCTTTGCAAAGCAAATGTAAATGTCAAATCAGAAGTCATTAAGAGGAAGTTGATCCTCAAGGTTATGATGACCACATTCACATATTGTCACGACCAACAAAAAATTCTCCTAGAAATATACAACTAAGTGAAGTGGTTAGCATTTCTAATACTGCTGATTTTAAAAAGTCATGTAGCAAGACAAATTCACCTTCTAAATAATGAAGCCTCATATTAGCTATAGGGAAGTATTTTTTTGTGGCCAGTTACAGTAGTATGTTTACCATTTTTACCAGCACTCAAATCCCTCAAATTTACATTACTCATGTCTTAAAGCAGTCTTAAACCAAACCACACCAAATGCATGCTGCAGACAGAAATACTGCAAAAGCATAAAAGTCAACCTGACTGCAGAGTTTCTTTTCAATAAAGTTTTACTTTATTAATGCTGTCTATGACTCCTGTGGGCTTTGGATCAAATACCAGTATAGCCAAAGTAACTTTACTGGAAAAACAAACAAAAATCCCCAAAGGGAACAGACTTTGTAAAAAGATAATTAAACAAATGATTATATATAAAATGTTAGAAGATTTATACCAGTGCTCTCCCCCAGAATCAGATTATGTATTAATGTGGCATTGCCCAACCCTTGAATTGAATGTCACTGGCATGCTGCAAGTGTAGCTTCAAAAGCAGCAGTGCAACTCTTAGTTTATATGGTGCACAGCACAGCAACGTACAAAACCCAGACACAAACAGCAGCATCAGCTTAGAATGGACGGTTGTCCACAAGTAGTGAAGAGTTGGGCAGAGTGTATTTTACTGACACCTTTTAACACTCTCAACATTCTCACCATGATTTATCTGCTAAGCCTAAGGAAGTTCAACATGAAAGTTATGTGAGGGGACATGTTTAAGTGAAACCTGAAAATACTGTGTTAACAATTTTAAAAGCAGGAATTAGTTATCAGCTCTCACAACGCATGGTATCATCCACATTTCCCTGAGAAATCATGCCCTGCAGTAACCATGTAAAGCAACACAGCGTTAATGCAATCCTGGATGAGACAGGGGTGGGGGGGAATAAGCATGCATAACAACTGTTTATGAACCAACATTTAAATGTTCCTCCAGCTATAACTATTCAATTGCAGACACTATATAAACCAGTCATAACAGAAATAGTAACTAAAAATAAAGAGAACTGATTTAAAGTACCATCCTATAATTAGCCATATAACTCATGATCATGATATTAACATTAGTTTCTGTTTCTTGATTTTTGAGTATGGCATTTCTTAACTTCATTAAACATATACACACTCTGCCTTACTGAGGCCTATTTTCATATGAAAGTTGAGAGTGCGTGCATAAACTCACCCTATGTCTAAAATTCAGAAGGTTCTTCCCCCTCCTCTGTTAGCTTAATTTAGCTCAGTAACTTCCCTAAGATAGGACAATTTTTTAGTAGGAAATAGGAATGGTAACATTCAACACTAAGAGAGATAGAACAAAGAATTACAAAGAAATCATCTTACCACCTTATTTAAAGCAATCATAGGTGTGAATAGCAGTACCTAGGCACAACGGGGATCATTACAACAACACACATCGAGAAAAGTAATTTGCAGGCTCTCCTATTTTTGCAAGTACATTACAAGGAGGTATGCAATGCATATACTGGGACACTGGGTCAAGCATCACATGCAGCACCATGGTTTGTCATTTCAAGCACACCTCTGCTTACCCTGTATTTCCACAAATACTTCTAGCATTTGCAACACCACCATGAGATAACCAGGCAGTGCCTTAGCCTCCCTGCTTCCAAGTTTCAGCATGCAGTTCACTTTAGCCCAATGCCACAAGACAGTGGGCCCTCAGTGTCTCCAGTGGCATTCATGTGCCCCATACTTTGGGATTGCTGAGTACTGATGTCACATGTATTTCAGTCCTTTGTTGAGTTAGTTTTACATCTACAGCAGGCCCTCGTAGTGAACACATTTTCAGCACGACTGAAACCTAACAGAAAGCAGCCAGGAAAACTGAAATTCCTTTTCCCCATTGTTCTGGAGTGCACGACTTGGTACGTCAAACTACACAAGATTCACCAAAACCCTTAAAGCAAAAGCGTGCTACGTGGCATTTGGCAAATTATCACCATTTCCTCCTTATATAAAACTCAAACAGCTCCAGCACCTCAATTGCACACAGAAGAAATTGTTGGTTGTCTCATAGGATTACAGTAATTAGTTCAACTGTTTCACAGACCAACACACGTAGTATTCATTTTCCATTTTGTAGGCACAGGAAATCACTGTTCCTTAAGCATCTAATGCATTCAAAGAAATACTTGAGATAAAAATCCATATTTTTTTAAAGTGTGCTTCCTACAAGAAAGAAGTCAGAATAAAGAAATTCCCAAATTGAAACAGCAAGAGCAATGGCAATCTAGGCTAGCACACAGAGGTAAAGCATTTATGAGAGAGCTCCTTCACATTCCAGTTGTGTCATGAGGAAGAAAAACCCAGCATGTCTCCATCATGTCAGAGGTACCTGAGAATCAAAGCTAAATCTCTTGTGCATTTACCAAGCACCCATTTGAGAGCTATGCAATTTACATTTCAAATCAGACGTTATATTTATAAAATTATTGTACTAAAAATCACGAGATTTTCTAGAAAAAGTTCATCACATTCTATTAAATGCAGGAACAATGTTACATGTCATAGCTTCTGTAATTACAACCCTAAGACAATTCTTGTAACTACAGGGGCACCACTGTTTAAAAATCCTTTTGGGAAGAAGAGTTTGCTTTGTTTCTTGTTCTTTAAATAACTGTAATTTAATACAAAAAGACTGCTCAAGCTACTTAGTGCCATGAGATTAAAACATTTTGAATGATTTCAAAAAGATGTTAAGAAATTTTTCTTAAAAACAGGTGGAAGGCCCTAACTGAGTTTACTGAACAAAAACATTCTTCAGCATTCCTGGGGTCAGAGACAGAAGACTGTTCTCCTAGTACACAGGGCACTATGATGACCATGAATGCAAGGACAAATATGAACAGCAATTGCCCATTATACAGTACAGCTCCAATGCTATCAGTATGACCAATTTCAAAAGATGGTATTAGAATATTTTTCCAAAAATACTGTAACTGCCCATATGAAAGCATACTCAGGTTTCCCAGGCATAGTCTTCTGATGCCAGAAGTCCCAACTCATACAGATTTATAGTTAATGCCTAGTCTTATATATTTGGTATGACCTCATTGAAATATATCATTAATTGTAAACAGACATTAGCTTTTTATTGCCAGTAGGCCTTAACATTACTTCTTTAAAAAAAAAAAAAAACAAAAAAAAAAACAACTTAAAAACCCCACAGCTAAGGAAATTCCCTGTCCCAAAAAATCCCTGAAAATTTTACTGAAGTCAAATATCGCATTAGTTCCACATACCACATTTTCAACTCTTTCGCTTGTGGGGTTTGGGAAATGAAATCTGAAGTTTCTCAAAATGCCTAAATAAATTAAATAAGTTTTTTTGTCTGTTTTAGCTTTATGGTTTTGTTGTGTTTGGCTTTTTTTCTTTAATTCTATATCAGGTATCCAAAAAAGGACTTACTGTCTTTTCGTATGGATGCCTCAGATCACCGAGACTTGTAGTGTAATCTAGTACTAAAAACTGGAAGAAAAAAAACTGATAAAGATGCAATATTTGACCAAAACAGCTTCCAAGTTAATTTTGTTTTTCCTTCTCCACATACATATTTTTACATGAAATTGTAGCTGCTGGTTACTCAGTCCTTCTAAATGTATAGCTTCTCTTGCATTCCCTCTCATGTACCAGTTGCATCAACAATCCACCAAAATTTGTTTTGGAAGAATCATTTTTGAGTGTCAAAATAGGAAAAGACATTTGTGTTAAGTGATCCTTCTGTATTTATGTGGAAGAATTATTATTATTATTAATAATAATCGTCCTCTTACATGGAAGAGAATAATTTTGGCCAAAAATCCATCCTACCTTCATTATAAAAACCCAAAATCCATCAAAAACCAAAATTAACTTTAATATAAGTGTCTTATAGGCCATAAGTTGGAAAATGGCACTGACTAGTTTCAATATTCCTGAATATAATTATTTGTATCTTTTCAGAGTCGCATACGGCAGAAGTGCTGCAGTGGAAGGAAGATACATGTTGTAGGGAAAAAGATCAATTTTAGAATAGATTTGTTAATGCAATGGGGAGGCGGGAGGGGAAAAATCAATGCAAACACCTTTAGCTTTCAGATTACTTAGCAGATTACTATAGTGTCACTGGATTGACTGAAAACTTTCACAATTAATTTGATCTCTTTCATAACTTGGTAGCTACACATGTAAAAAATTTTCAAGTTTCGTTTTCCATGTGAGATAACTGGGAATAAAAATAGGTTACGGAATCAGTCTATTTAAAAAGTAACATTGATTTTGAGAGTGTACACCCAAATATACTGTAGTAAGAAATATTTCACCACTTACTAGAATTTTAAACATTCCAGATTGTTAGGTAACAAAAGATATTTTAGACACTGGCACCCACTGCCTTTACAAGGTCTCTCCAAATGGCATTGAACAATGTATATGTAGTGTCCCAGGACTGTACAAAGATCCTGCCTCAATAATTACAAGAATGCACTTAATAAATTATTTTTCTATTTTCTTCTATTAATATGTAAATAGTTTATACAACATAAAAAAGTTAATTTGTACCTATTACAGGTAACATATCTATTTAGCTTTTCATCTGAAAGCCTGTAAGACTTGATGACCTGCAAACTTATTTACATAACTCATTTGAAAGTATTTTTTAAAAATAATATTGTCCAGCATTTAACAAAATTGTGAGTTAAAAAAGGAAAGAAATCACTTAACAGCATTTGTTTTCTTGATTTTGTCAAGTAACTTCACCAGCTGTCTGTTGTAAGGCAGGTTGGTTGCTCTGATGGACTAAGATTCCCCATGGTGATAGGCTTTTAGTAAATTCATTTATAAAATTGGATGAAAGCGAGTAAGAAAAAAAGTTTAGAGTTTCAAAAGAACTGAAACTTCTTATTTTCACTACAAATTCAGAATAGGCACTGAAATGTGACTCCTTAGGGACCTTTCCAGAAGATTGTCTCTTCGCTGGGTATTATTCCATTTTTAAACTAAGAAGACAAAAAAGAAAAAAAATTATCAGGGCTACGTAATTGAAGATTACAAAAAAGGAATCATCATACATATTTCTTCTCTTCTGACTAATAGAGGAAAGAACTTGTCTTAAGATTAAAGCATCACAATTACTGTTTTGGTTAGATTATTTTTAATTTCGTTACTAGATTTAAGCAACATTGGAAAATAAAAATATACTTTTCAACATCTAATTTGGCGTGTGTTATTGAAAACTAAGGTTCTGAAGCACAAGGCTAAAATAGTCCCAAATTATGCTTATCTTTATGCTCCAGGACAGTATCAACAAACCATATAACGTTCCTGTTTGCATAACCTCCTCTTCGAGAGAGAGATGTTGCTAACTCCCTAGCCACTCTACTCTAGTTTCTTATAATGAGAAATATTTTCCTTAATATTTAAGATGATGTAACAACTTAATTCTTGTCAACCACAAGGACTGCTTCCCATTTTCTAGACCCATAATGATAGCTTTGGTCATGTTCCCTAAACTTCGTTAAATGGTCGATGTTTTTCATGAATGGTAGCAGCCAAAACTGAGACCTTAACAGCACAAAAAAAAGAGTGATATATTTACTTCAGTTCTCTTCCACACACAGACACACCAACAAGTTGTATGCCCCTTCCAGACTGACTCCTGTCCAATTTTTGATGAATCTTGTAATACTCTTAAGTAAAAAAAACTACTTTACATTTCAAAACCATTGACCTTGAAGTATTTTGAAGATACCCTTTGAAACCCTATCCATCAATACAGAACAATATTAACTGTATGCTCTGTAAAAATTATATAACACAGGTGCCATCAGGAAAACCAATCCTCACCTTTCTCTGTAGTGTCTGCAGTTTATTAAGCATACCTTTTGTCTATGAACAGCAACTGTCTCCATCTTGTGAAACACCATGCATAGGAATGAGACTTTCACATTGCTCACTTTCTTCTTGCATTCTTAAAAGAAACAAATTTATTTCGAGTTATACAGTAATATGAAATTGTTTTTTACAAAGTGAAGGTTAAGGATCAAGTATGCTAGCTGTCTGACCCCTTAACTTCTTAAAGCATATTCAAGTTTGCACAATTTTCCCTGCATGTTCTGGGTACAGCAACTATCATAGAGGCAGTAACAGGGGTGGGGGGAGAGAAAACTGTGACAGTCACTAGGAAACTTCTTTTAAAAGGTAAACATTTCCATTTTCTGAGCATTGCATATGTTAATAAATGGATTGACAACTACTGCTATTAATAAATTAGTACACCTGAATACAAATTAGATGAAAATAAACACAGATGAAAATAAATTATGAGTTCTGTGGCTTACAAAAGAGTATAGAGGAAAAGCTAAAGAGATAGGATTATACTTGGTGACTGCCCTACCTCTGAATTCGATGTTTTCTACAAATAAAGGCAAAGATTCTTCTGATCCCCACCATCACTGGATCCCAGTTGTTATAGTGACATAAGAGAGTGGCAATGAAAAATGAAAAAAATACAGGGACTGCCCCTGCAAAAAATAACCAAGAAAACTGCACCTGGAATTAAAATACAAAGATCATTCAGTCAATGCTAAAAAAAATTAAAAAAAAAAAATTTAAAAATTGTCTTACTGTATATTTGGAGTAATTCTTATTGTACGTCTGAGACACAGTTTCAGTTCTCTTAAATTCAGTAAAATGTTACAATTATTTCTGTAAGTTATTTGGTACTACTTCTATAGCCACTGCTACTTTTAATCAATGAGTGACCTTTCTTCACTGATGCTCTCTTTCCAATGGAACACACTGTTGGCACCATGGCATGGATGAAGACTGATTTCCAAGTAGCCTCATTTCTAGGTTTTAGCTGTCTGACTGGTACCAGTGAGAAAGACTCCTAGACACTTTAAAAAATTTTGTGTAAGAGATCTCACCTTTTTAGACACTATGAATTTACTGCCATAGAATGGTAACTGCTGAAATCAATGCACACAGATGGACTTTGCTACAGGAAATCTACATTAATTCTCCTTTTCACTTCAAAAAAGGCAGGGCACATTATTTGCCCAATTTAAACTAAATTCTTCTTGTATCTGTACTACTCCTTTATTACTACACTCAGAAGCGATCATCTGACACTGTTTAAAACTTAAAATTATAGAAGGTGAGAGAAACCTAGGATACAAGAACCCCTCTGCAAGGCGGCCTCAAGGCCAACAGAGCCACATGAGCCATGAGCGCAGCTCCCTCTTGTGGGGAAAGCTTCCAAAGTTCAAGACTAGAGAAAAAAAGGAAGTTTTGGTATCTGGCACTGATGTTCACTCTCTAAATAAACCACAAGTGTTAGAGCCTTATGTCATCCTTAGTGATTTCTAATGGGAATTCATAAACACAGATGTTAGCAAATTGAATATTTAAATAGTTGTTAAAAAATCGTCATTTCCTAAGATTCATATTTATGTCATATTATTACAGAATAATAGAGACTCAGAAAGTTAGTAATTATGCATATTGTATAATTACCATACCATTTGACAGTCAGATGAAGACTGCATGTATTCATGTTTTAATCTTTACATTATTGGCCATGCCAGTGGCATTCTTACATAAGTTCCTTTTAAGAAAGCTGAAATGTGGTATAGAGACAAGGCTGGCCAGAAGCACTAACTGCAAAGCTCCAAGTTGGAAGCTTGAATTTCTAATCAGCCCAACCTGGGCACCCGAGACTTCAGAGAACATAGGGCTTGGCTTAGCAAAACATTGATGTTTGTATGACAAAGCCATGCTTGTCCAAATACACTTGTACAACAAACTTCAAAGTCTACAGAAGTTTGCCTTTAATTAGGGTCATTCATTTGTGCTTTTAACACTAGCAATTTTTTTTGAAAAAAAGTAAGAGACATATAACTTGCCCTTGTGCTACCAACATTAACTCAAAGTCATACAACAGAGCCTTAAAGATGTTTCTGCTATTTCAGACGCTTCAATACTTCATGAGTACATAAAGAATAAATTAATTTTAAAGATCAGGACTCTGTGTTTACTCAGATTAAATAGCTTAGAGATAAAGTTGTTTACTGACAATTAGAAAAGCATATCCCATTTTTCAGTGTATTCCAGAAGAAAGTTGAGATGAATCACTTCAGAAGATAATGTTAGCTTTTCATATATTGATACATGCAACTATATGTACATACATCTTTGGAATTTACTTGTACAGATACACACACTTGTGTGTAAACCATGTATAGATACACACATGTATCCAAACCAAATTCTTATATATTGCTGCCAGCATTAGCTCACATATAAACCTAACGACACCTCGCTGATGTGAATTCTTGCAGGCAAAGTCTACAGATTTCTTTTCCTTTTTTTCCTTAATAGCTATCATTAGTTATTTACTTTCTATTTATGTCCCAAGTGTATGTCGCAGACACTTGAACAACAACACACACACAGTTATCTTACCAGTGAATGCTTTGCTGTTGCTGGAATCAGTGCAAGCATTTGCTATATTTCTATGTTGAAATATTCAGCTAATATGAATATGAAAGACACTGTACCTTACATGTTTGTTACACAAATATTTATTCAGGGTCTGACTCTCCTTTTGTTTTCCAAAATTGACTTTGCTTTTTTAAAATTTTTACTCTTTTACTTTTCTGCTTTATTTTCCAAAATCCACATTGATATTAAAAGTGTAACACAAGTTGTGTAGGTTTTTTTCCCCCCCATTTTTACATGCCTGCCAGAACATTTCAGAAGTCAAAAATTCTCATTAGAATTTACACTTTCTTGTGAAAACATTCAGCAGTAAAGCTTCTCTTTGGTATGAAACTCTACGTGTTACACTTGACTAATTTCTTGTACGCAAGTTAGTCTTATACAAGCAAGTACAAGGCTGAAAAGGCAAGCTCAAATGTAATGACTGAAAACAAGTCATGAACTGAACCACCACGGATAAGGCACAAACCCCACTGGTTGCAGGGAAGCCACTACTCGGAGAATGCTCCATTTAAGCCATGTTCCAGGCACAGTCAGAATTCGTCTCTTCTCATGCCTCTGCACCACTATTTGCACAGAGCTTACCAACTAAGCATAACTGCATTTGCTGTAAGACTCAAAAGAACACCAAAGCAGTGTAATCAGCAGGAGCTGGCAGAGCAAGACCACCAGTCTATTCCAGATTTCAGAAGCATAGTATTGTATAGTTAGTTTGGTCAGTTTTGCCCATTTTTATTGATATAATTTTCAGCTAAACTATTACATGACTAAACTGCTTCTTAAATCACATTAAGATTTACCATCTCACTAAAGAACTTCTTGTATTCCAGAGACAAACTGTATTTAGGCCAAAGTGCTCAAATGCTGACTAATTAACTATTTTGTGCCTAGAAAACACTAGCTAGCACATACTTTTACTCCCTGCTTTCTAAAAAACCTGCAGCCTCTCCATACCACATGCCTATAAGCACTTCTAATGTTGGTGAGATATAGGTGTCACCAGTGGTCACCACACACACAAGCATGTGATGGGAAACGTTTACACTCTAGCCAAGTGACACGTGCACGTGTCGACACCAAGGTGTCAAAAGGCACGGGCATATTGGCCTGTGTGGGGATGCCCTCCCAAAAAAGAAGGGCATTATTGTTGTCAGAAAAATTTAAGATTGCTATAATAGATGTATTATAAAATCAGGTTCAAAGCTATTTCAAACAGTTAAACAGCCATTTTGTATTTCAAATTAATATTTTTAAGAATAGGGATTATTTAAATCCAAAATTATGAGGAGAAACAACTGATACTGCCTTCAGGAAATAGAAACAGTTACATGATCTCAATTTAAAGTGGGAAAAAAACAAACAAACAACAACAACAAAAAACAGTAATTGCATGATTGCAGTATATGCTAAATAATTATTATTCATTTGAAATGAAGAATTTTATATTCCTTGCCACTGATTAACTACTAAATTCAAATATTCAGAGTTAAAGTTGAAGTTCATATGGAATTAAATATTTAAGACTGTGAATTCTACCCCATCAGCATGAAAAGTATCTATACACCTTGAAGAGTAATATAAACTAGCTTTATATAGTTTCTATTCTAAACTCCTATTATGAGATTCTTTTCTTTCTTTACATGCAAGGTTTTCCCAGAGCTACTACCTTACTATCAGTGCAACTAGACTACCTTAAATGACGAGTTAAACAGAAGCCAAATATCCACATGAAGTCAATAATGTGCACCTAAGTCTTGTAGCTGCTATGTTCCTTTGTGGTAACCCTGCAGATTTTTGGTTTTGTCATGAATTGAGTACCTTCAAGACAAGCAGTCTACAACAATTCTATAATTGTAAAGGTAGCAATTTAAGCTGCGCTGTACTTGCAGTTTTTCTTTAATTCTGAAAAGTACCTATTCAAGGTAAGGCATCTGACAGGCATTGCTGATGACGGTGGAGTACTTTTCACACCAGCTGCATCCTAATCAAATATATTTAAGTGTGCAAGTGCATGCTCGCAAGTGCAAAATTACTGTAATTGTCAGTATCAAGAGAATATTCATTATGATGCAGTTCAACAATGTGACAGAAGTAAAATACTGTTCATTGTTTATAAGTAACACTGCCATTTAATTCAAAGAGATTCTGTTACTAATGCTCAAAAATCCAGTAGTACATTACCTTCTGCATGCACATGTCAGCTATTATGGACAGAGGTATTGTAAGGCTTAGCGCAAGTGTGCCTATCAGTGATGAGGTAAGAAAGCATCCCCTAAAAGACAAAAGATTATGAAGAATAATAAAGTCTTATTTAAAAATTAAAAGACAACCAAAGTAATAGATCAAACTGCAGGAGACATTAGATCAAGCTTAACTATTACCCATTGTTTGTTTTAATAATAAAGAATTGAGATACCTACACGCTGTCACAGATCTGTAAAACTGCACGAAAATCTTGACTATTGATGTCTTCTAGAGTGAGGTTTAATTCCCATACAGATCTTTTGAGATTATGGAAAATTCACTATTTCCCAGGTAGGGACTTGAACCAGAAAAAAAAATCTGCATTTTGTTTCCATGCTGAAATAGTTTAATACTAGCTTATAGCAATTAAATTTGTTTTGCCCCAGTCTGGTTAACTGAAACAGAAAGGTTGCTACTATCTAGAAATCCTACCCAAAGACAGAAATATATTTTATTAATAGACAAATTCGTAAATTAACAGACTCCGCTTTTTAAATCTCACTCTATAATACACCCTAGAAGCCACTCTTCAGAGTCTCAGTAAGACTCCTCTGCATTCTACAAGTTGTCTCATCACATTTCCTGAACAGGAAGGGACTTCTCTAAATCACCGAGTCACAAAAAGCCATGACAATTTATTTAAATAACAGAACAGAACAGAACTACATGCACATGTCATTGTGGCATCTATGGCATTAACAGCCTCAGAATTCTTACTAACCCATTTCACAGAATCCCAGCACGGCAGGGGGAAAGGATCTCTGGAGATCACCTAGTCCAACCCCACTGCTAAAGTAGATTTTCCTAAAGCAGGCTGCACAGGATCACATCCAGGCGGGTTCTGAAAGCCTCCAGAGGAGAGTCCATAACCTCTCTGGGCAGCCTGTTCCAGGGCTCCAGAACCCTCACAGGAAAGGTTTTTTCTTTAGGGTTAGGTGGAACTTCCTGTGTTCCAGTTTATGCCCATTGCCCCTTGTCCTGTCACTGAGTACCACTGAAAAAATACTGGCCCCACCCTCTTGGCAGCTACTCTCTAGATACTGATAAGCAGTGATACCACCCCCTCTCAGTCTTGTCTTCTCCACCCTAAACAGCCTCAAGGCTCTCAGCGTTTCCTTATCAGAGAGATGTTCCAGTCTCCTCATCATCTTTGTAGCCCTTCCATTGAGGTCTCTGCAGTAGCTCCCTGTTTCTCTTGACCTGGGGAGCCCAGGGGTGGACACAGTACTCCAGATGTGGCCTCACTAGGGCCAAGTACAGGTGAAGGAGATTGCACTTAACCTTCTTATCAGCTGATACTGAACTGTGGTCTACACAGGTAAGCCAATTTCTGTGCAATGTATGCAGAGCATGCAGTACATACCAGAGCCAGAGGAACTCAGACAGGACTGTTCCAATAAGGCCATTAACAACAATGCACATCCATATCAGTTTACTGGGAAACTCAAATGCTTCAAACCCAGTATAGTGAAGCAGGAAAAACCCTGGCCACAGCAGCAACAGGTTAAACAGCCCTACAAAACCTGAGCAGAAAAACAATATTAAGTACATCACAATCAGTGCATCCTTCAAAACAACTAAAATCTACTAAACTCTGCTATTTTGACAACATGCATACATAAAAGCAGCATCAGAGCAATATCTGAAATCCTTGGGAGGAAGGCAATATTATAAACTTTAACTAAAATTCACATACAATTATGTATTTACAGGTTTGAAACTGAAAAAAGTTAAAGTTTCCATTGAATCCAAAGGGCTTGTCTGCATTCCTACAGGTTGTGTTACCTTTCATTGTTAAGACTGTAAACAAGAAACAATTCAAACAACTAGTCTCCAAACCACTCGTAACCACAGGAGCACCAGGCTGTCTCTGCTTCCTTGGCTCTTCTGAGTCCCTTTATCACTCAGACAGTTTAGTGCCTGAAAGCAAACAATTTAATCGCACACTGAACTAAAACTTCCGGAGTTATTTTTGGTCTTACCGAAGAACATTGGTATGTCAAGTTTATCTTCTCTATCTACTTTCCTTTTTATCATTACTATGTACACAGCATACAGCATTGCTCCAACAAGAGACCAAAGGGAACCTGGAAAGATGAAAGAAACACTCACTTAAGATATACCAAACATGTTAGGTACATTTGGACCAACTCTCCTAAAAATACCACCGTTATAAAACTGTCAGAGATAAACTGTTTATTACAGAATCTATGAATACATGAAAAACATGGAAAAATGCAGAAAGTTCAAAATATGTAAATACTTTCCCAATTAAGCTATGTACACAGGTGGGGAAATTCATCATAAATTTCCAGTTTCAGAAGGTGAAACTAAAAAGCCGAACTGTGAAACATTACACAATTAAATACACAGCTTGCTATATGACCAACTGAGATGTACTCATCACTGCTATTTCTGGGATTTAAAAAAAAAAACAAAAGTAAATACCTATTGTGTGTTTTCCAGTAGATTTTTCAGATCCAGAAAGGTTAACGAGTACCACACCACCAATGCTAGCAAGAAAGAAGAAATACAAGAACTTTTTTACAAAGAGAGAAAAAAAAAAAAATAAGAGGAGAAAAGATCTAAACATACAGTTCTATCTTTAGCTGGTTTTAGTTAAGGAGATTGCACTTTTGGAAAGCCAGAAAGAATTTTCTGTTGCTACTGCCTGATCCTAAACTAAGACCAACCAACCCAAAAAATCCCACTTCGAACTTCCCTGAAAAATGCAGCGGGCATTTAATGAAACAGGCTGACAGTGCTGAATGCCAAGCCTCTTCTTTTTCTCACCTACCCAAAAATAAAGAAACCACAATTAAACAGCAAGAAAGACAGTTCATGTAGCTCCAACGGAAACCAGATTAATCCAGTTTCCTACAGGAGCACAAGGCTCAGTAACTGTTCATGATACAGAATCCTAGAATGGTCTGGGTTGGAAGGGACATTACAGATCTTCTAGTTCCAAGCCTGGTGCAATATGGAAGTGACACCCCCTACTAGACCAGGTTGTGCCAGGAAGAACTCTTACAAGAGTAAAACCTTGTCTTGAAAACCTCCAGTGATGGAGCATCCTCAACTTCCATGGGCAACCTGTTCCAGTGTCTCACCACCCTCACAGTGAAGAACTTCTTCCTTACATCTAATAATCTAGATCCACCCTCTTCCAATTTTGAAGCCATTACCTTTTGTCCCATCACTACAAGACCTTGTAAAAAGTCCCTCTTCAGCTTTGTTGTAGGCCCCCTCCAGACACTGGAAGGCTGCAATAAGGTCTAGTCAGACCCTTCTGTTACGTAAAAGTATTTAAATGCAGTAGCAGAGGTATTTAGTAGTAGAACTATTTAAAGTAGAAGTACTTAAAAAGACTTAATTTGCTTGCTCAATTTACCTGTGAAACAAGGTTGTTTTTTTTTTTTTAAAAAAAAAAAGCTAAGCATATCACATATTGTCACAGATCACATAGGTATAGTAGCTATAGTTGTCCTTTCAACCTATCATGGAGTTTTTGACCAAATATTCCATCTCATTATCCTACCTTAAAATAACAGCTAATAATTTGGACAGGGTAAATCTGTCTCCACTGTTACTGGGAAAGACTGCAGCCAAGATTAAAGTAAAAAGCCCTGCAAGAGAAATTAAGACGTTTATACCATCAAGTTTTGCTACTACTTTGTTCAGAAAACTGCACAGAAATGTTCTTCTTTATATTTCGCATACTTGTTTCAGCTACTCGATCTTAGCACCCTTAAGTTAGATTGGAACTATTAAGAAATTAATAGCTTATGATGTGAATTCTCAGATAAACAAATACATGCTCCATTTTGAGAAAGGTTAGCCACCCTAACAAACTAAACTGTAACAAACCTGAAAAGTTAGTGGAAAAAAAAAAAAAACAAACCACATCATTGTGCTGTTAAAATTGATTTTATAAAACAAGTTACTCCACACAGTATGCAGTCCCATAATTTAAGTACTTTAAAGCTCATATAAGAGCCTTGCAAAAAATCTGTAAAGCAAGTGACTTACCCAACATTTAGGCGATTTGAATTCTTTACCCCTATTTTTTAAAAAGCTAATGATCAGGAAGACCTCACCATGAATTGTATCTATTTTGACAAAAAGTTATACCACTTTTCCTTCAAACCTATTACATTCCCAACATATCTCATTATTACACAGCCACAAGTGCAAACGTACACATACACAAAGCTGAAAGCAAAAAGCAGGGGAGTGACGACGACAGCCCAAACCCCTGCAACTACACAGCGAAATTTTTAAAAGCTCATATTTGATGTCTTTAAGTCTTACTGTCCCCATGAACCCACATGTAAATCACTACACAAGTCCACTGCAACCCATCTTTTTATTTTATACAGTAGCCTTAGAAAGGATATCTGGGGGTGTAAATAAAACTTACCAGAGGTTGACGACAAGATATTAACTATTGCAACTTGGGTGTCTGATAGAGCTTCTTGGTAAGAGAAATTTGCCAAGAACCACTGTGGGAAAAGAAAATTCATTTTGTAATTAAACAGAGAGCAACAACAGAGTTTAAGTTTCTCAATGCAATAAAAATCCCACTTAAAGAAAAAAGCCAACTATTTACCCAAAAATAAAATCAAGACAGGACTTTTACCTCAATTACATTTCTAACTTCTGTCTTTTAATGTACCCCTCCACTTTAACAGAAGGAAAATTAGAACTGGCCCAATCCAACCATTTTTAGCATGTTTAATAATGAAATAACATACTTCAGAACTTAAAAAAAAAATTAAAATTAAAATTATATTGTCCTAGCTATTCTATAGTAACTAAAGGTACTTTCAACTTGTTTTGCAAATTGCATATGGGCTGCAAAGAAATTTTAGAGCTACACGGGACATTAGCCATCCTAATGAGGTTTTCTTAGAGTTCTTAAAACTGGCACACATCTCCACTCTAAAAACAAACCATCACTTACATTCAATACCTCACAAACATTTTTGAAAGATTCATACTTGTTAATTCCTCAATAAAGGAAGAAAAAGGCAAGTTGTTTTTTTATCATTTCTTGACTGCAATCTCATTAAAAAGATCTCAGATCTATCCTCAGGGAAGTTACCACGCTCTAAAGTCTTAGAGAAAATATACAGTCCAAGCAAAAATACACAAGACATGCCAGTAGTAGCAGCATCTGTGAATAGCATGAACAGGATTCCTCCTGTGAAATAAGTCACAGAGACATTTACCCATCTCCTGCAATCTCACTGCAGCTTTTACCAGCCTGTATACATGTGTACCCCAGATATATATATACACATTTATGCCCCAGATGTGTATATATATACACAAACATACCCAGCACTGGACAACAGGACCTTCCAGTTAACCACACACTCAGGATCTCTTTTTATTACCCTGCCTTTAAGAGATTGCATCTTCATGTCCAGCACATGAGGAAATTTTTACTTTTTACAATATATTTATAAAATGAGGCATAAAGAATACAAGTCATCCCAGAACTGTTTCACTATTATTATGCAAGTTTTAATTGCACCTATACTTCAGTTTTCTGAAAGAATGGAGCACATACCACAAAGCAAAAGAAAAAGCTGATTTTTGCTACTTGAGTTGCAGTGAGTTTTCCTACAGTTTTTAATATTGATTCCTGCTCCTTAACTGTTGGATATGACATGCGAGACAACTTGGCTTCCAGCGCATGACTCGACGGGAGCTGTCGGATCTCCATAATGTTACTGAACCTTACACGAGGCTTTTTGGGAGCTTCAGGAGAAAAGGGAAGGAAAAAAAAAAAAAAAAAAAAGGAAAGAGAAGCTGCACATTATCATTAAACTTTTCAAGCCAACCCAGTATGTAGATAAAACTATGATGTTCTAATACAGCATTGGATACTTCACAACTGATTTTCCTCCAAATAGAAGACATGCCATTATTTTTATTTATTAAACTTATATTTTGCTATTTGATATGTCACTAATAAGAGAAACCACAATTACTGTTTTCAATCAGCACAGTTGTCCACCCCAAAAAAACCAAACCCCACAATGTATAAATAAACACCACATGTAGGATTCTCTCTAATTGTTTAATACTCAAACAGTCAAAAAATGCACACAGCTATACCTAACTGCAAGGACAGTGTTTCATTTGGAGAATGAGTGTCCAACAGACCTCAAAGCTTAGCAGAGATCACAAGGTCACTTGCTCACTGGAAATCCACCCTCTAATTAATCTTGCAAACTAGGAACACATTTTATTTATAAGGGTATTGCAAGTATCACTAGTTTCCTGTGTAAAGAAGGCATTATATGCTACATAAAAATATTAGCCTAATTAAAAAATAAACAATACCTAATTTCCTAAATAAAGCAAAATGAAAAGTTACAGCTCAAATAACCCTGAAGTGATTGGTGCATGTTACCACAGGACAGCAGAGCCTACCAAAGCAGTTCTTAAACACACATCACCTAGAAATTAAGAAAGAGACTTTCACTTTTAAAAGCAGATCAGATAATTGGACTCTTTGACAGCTGACTTTTCTATAGCTGTCTGGGACAGTTAGGCCTGTTTCAGCTACTATCACAAGAATCAGAATGCATATAGACTGTTAAAATTCTTACTTTGACTGCTTTGCTCCTGCTCTAACAAGGACAATAGTTTGTTTTTTCCAGAGGCTGACTCACTGCTGCTGGTCATACATGCCCAGAAGGAAAGAATCACAAGTACTGAACCCAGTTGGTCCCTTGAGATAAACATAGGCTGGATCTGTAGTGACCAAGAAAGGTAAACTGAACGATAGGCCTATGTTTTCTCTACCTCAAAGTAAACATGAGACTGCAAATCATGCAATGAAGAGATTTAAGGAAGAAAAAAAGAAAGAAAAAGAGAGAGGCAGGGGAAAGAAAGTCAAATCCTGCAGCATGACAGCAGTCAGACCAACAGAGAGGGAAATCATTCTTTCAAAGAACTAGCATTTTAGTATTCCAAAAGTCTTTACTCACTTTTCTCCCCATCACTATTATTACTGCCATTTTTTTCAGTTGGCAAATCATGAAACTTTACAGGAACGTATAAAGGTTCACTCTGAAATGAATCAGTATAAATAAAAAATACAGTTAAGCAGGATATTTTATAAGCAGTAGAATTAATTTCTTGATTTAGTTCTCTAATTGGCTAAAAGTTTGGTGAGTATTAAGACAATCAAACAGAACAAAGCAGTTTTGCGCATAGCAGACAGATTTATAAAATACATTGATACATAATCTCTATTTTATGTTGACCGTTCAATCTATATTTTATGTTAAACATTTTATGGTAAAATGCAGTACTCAAAAATAACTGTACGCTTTTGTGTATACCCTCATGAACACAAAACTCATCCCCCAAAATTTCAAGCCTACTAATTTAAAATTTAAAATAACTCATCAAAATCACAGGAATTTCAATAGTTCTACAGCTTCTGTCCAAATGATAAGCTAGAAACCTAAAATACAGAATACATATACACAAATGAATACTTACACATTTTCCTCCCATGACCCTAAAAGCTCACGATCTAGAACTAAAAGTCAAAAAACTCTGGGAAAGGAACCCCAGTACATAATGCACTTGGCAGAAGTTTTAACTACTTAAAATTCACAAGTTTTAAGCTGCTTGTTAAAATTAAATTAATAAACTGCAAGAGTAAGGTACTGAAAAAGACCTGTTAACTGGATTTTCATTAGGCTCCTTTTTAGGACCAGATATTTTGTGGCTGTTTAAATTAATGCAAAGTTGTCCAAGGTTAAAAATGAATCCTGCTTCTAGAGTCATATGATCTTAATGAATTGATCAGACTAAGATCTTATTCTTCAATGTAGATAAATAAGGCTGGGAAAAAAAAAAAATAAATTAAGCATACATCTGGATAATGTCTCTTCAACTCCCTATTCAGTATAAAATACCCATATGGCAGTTTGTTAGCAGTCAGTTGCATCCCTCTATTACAGGGATGGTTTAAAAAAAATTAAAATTCTGTGGTTTGGATATATTTCTGCATGTGACCTTTGATTTACGTATGCAGATTAAGCAGCACTCTGTGATCAACAGAGGCATGAACGTCATTTATGAATGATGAAACTCACCACAAAACCCACCAACTGGCAATGCAGCTTATGAGCAGAACACCAGGACTGATATTTGATTCAATAAACAGTAGTCACTTTGTCCACTGGAAGGAAGAAGACAGTCCATTTCTCTTTCAAAACGCCACGCAGGATCACAGTATACAAGACATTCAACTAACTGAATGATTCTCTTGTGGATTCCAGCCTTGAAAACTGTTTGGCTTTACCACGAGTTCTCCCCATTTTGCTCTGGCAGCTACTGAGCTGAACACGTAAAGGTTCACTTTGTACGACAAGTATTTCTTGTACAAACTACAACAGAAACATGGAAGTGTTCTATTGGGCTGAGAATCTATTTCTCATAAGCAATGTCTTTATTTGCAGCACTTATTAATGACATATAAGTTACCCATCCCCTTTTCCAAAACTGTTACATTTAAGATCGCCGTACTGTGAACACTAAGACAGGACAACGTGTAGTGCTGCCATAAAGCACTGACCTTCACAAATTAAGGCACTTACCAGAGAACTGTTTACAGTGTTATCTGTTGTACAAGTGGCAAAATAACCTTCAGCATCTGCAAACTAAGCACAGAATTTTAAATGTAATAAGCTATCAAAGCAGAGTTATTAATACCTGATTTTTTTGAGAATAAGTTTTTTAATGCTTTTTTTCCCCTAATTCTATCATAATTCCCTTTCTCCCCCCAGTCCTCCCCAATAAATAAGAAGGCTTACAAGTTCAGTAAATAATTTCAGTAACTCTGTACCTCTCGGAAAAGCTCATTGAATTGAGCTGCCCAGGTATCAATGCAGGATCAGGCTGTTAAAATGCCCAAACCTGTGGAGCTCAGCCTTAGTGAGACATGCTTCATCAAATTATGTTGCATGCATTAACAACAAGCTTCTCGTTTCTTCATTTTATTGAGGAAAAGTACCTTTGCATAAAAACCTGGAACTCTGCCCTAGTTTTAACAAGAGTTAAATTAGGATGAGGTAAAGTAAAATTTTTCATCTTCCCTTCTTCATCTTCACAAGCACTACTACCCCTGTTCCCTGATCTGCAGCTTGCTGTTCTGTTCTGTAAGAAATCCATTACACAAAACCAGTAATGTGGAAGAGGGCTTAACAGTGAGGTATGAGTGTTTACCTAAGCAATAAATGTATCGGGTTTGTTCCAGATTAAGTAACACAAGACATTTTAAAAGGCACTTGTAATAATGAGACAGTTGAGTATTTAACTAAGCTCCTCGGGGTAAAAATTAAAAATAAATCTTCTAACTGCACGCTACAGAACACCCATCGCACTGTTCTCTTGAAATATGCTAACATCAAATGTAATGACTATTTCCTACAGATTGCTCCAAACATTACTTTTTATAGGATTAGAAAGAAAAACATAATGAGATTCCAGTAGTGGTGCCACACAACGTGTGACAGACAGAGCATTCTTACTCCTTACTGGCCAGTTACGAGTTCATATTGTCTCTCTTTGACACAGCACTGCACAAGATTCACCACCCACCCCAGGCAATAGCTCCTTTTCCTACTCATCTGCTCAGATTAATTTTGTCAGTATAATTGCTTTGCACAACTAATCATCCTTTAGAGCTTTCATCATCCTTATTTGTCATTCCTGCCAACAAAGAATCTGTAAATTCTGTTTATTTCCCAATTATCTTGCAGAAATCCTGAACAGCACTAAGTCTAACATAGGCTATACTATACACAGGCACTTGGTATTGATCTGGCAAAAACTATTTCAAGATATCAGTCAATTTTAAATGTTCTATGTGTTTAATACAGGATAAAAAAAAACAACCAAACAAACAAAAATAAAAAAATAAAACCCAAGAGGGTTAGTTTTTTGGTTTTGTGGTATTTTGGGTTTTTCAAAGATAAAAATCATTTGGCTCAATGTCACATAACACTTCAATTTAAGTACGTTACGTCTACAGCTGTCACTAACAGTGACTAACAACATCCACAAGAACTGAAGTCAGTTCCTTTCACAGAAGCTCCTTTCTATGAAGACATGTTGATTAACAGCATGTTCTTGGATCACATTCACTGTTATTTAATGTGAGATTAATATGAGCCCAAATGCCTCACTGCTTCCTGAGTCCTGCTGCTCAGCATTCTGAAACACTGGCACAGAACAAGTGCTCTTCCCAACATCTCTTAATTTCCTTGGAAAAAAGTATGTATTTCTGTAGTATGACAGCAATTTTCTACTCTAGCACAAACTATGCCTAGTTCTAGAACAGGCAATAGAAGGTCACTTGTGCATAAAGGCTATAAAAATATAACATTAACAGCAAAACCATAATTCTACCACCTTTCCCAAGTGTAACTTTAAAAACTTCCAAACCTCTCAGCAAACAGTTCATAGCTCTGCCAGAGACAAAACCAGTCAGAAATAAAAATTAACCACCAAGTTGAAATACTGATTCCATTCATTACAGATGTGCTGGGGAAGAAAAAAGGAACCAACAGCCAACAGTGTTGAGGCTTATAAGCTGTTCTTAAAAAGAATTACCCTCCACAACTGTCCAAGATAAAATACCAGGCTAGATGGTGCAATGGTCTGGCCCAGCAGAGCATTTCTGTGATTCTTCACACGTTTCATACTGCTTTTGCCTTCTGTTTTTCCCTCTCACAAGACTATTATTACGATTGCCACGTCTCCCTGTGCTGTGATTCAGTTTATAGTTGCTCTTCTGAAAGCAGTTTCACAAATAGGTAAACTTTGCTTTTCTCCCATCCTTATTTTAATTTTTCTGTACAAACATCAACATTTACAGAGTTAAAATACTTACAAAAGCTGCATGCCTTCCACGAAACCCACGAGTACATTGTTGCCTCCATGGCTTCCAAACAATAAATCCCAAGAGGTACAGAACAAACATGGATGTTTTTGCAAATGTACTGAAAAAAGGTTTGTTGTACTTTGTAAAAACATACTGTGGAAAGAAAATAATTGCAGTATCCAAAATTACTAGTTAGGTGAGAAATCACAGAATGAATGAACAGGTTTAAGTGTAGAATCCAGAACAGTCTGGTTCCCAAAATGACAGTGCTGCAAGTAGTGGCACATATGTCCAGAAGACATAAGTGGCCCTACTTATTCTGGGGGTCCCCCCTCCCAAGCTATCTTAAACACCCACAAGAAGGTGCTGAGACGTTTTGTAGGCTACAATGCCACCACAGAAAAGCTACTTATTACTTGTATCTAAGCAAGCAACAGAATTGATATGCCATTGAACTCAAGTAGGACAGAAAATACAATATTTTCTCAATCAAAGACCACTTTTATAAGCAATAACATAATGATCACAAATTAGAGAAGATTGCTTTGATTAAGTAACAAGTCAGTATCAGCATTGACTCCACCAGCTCACTGGAAATAGTGTTTTATTAATATAATAGCATGTTAAGAACAAGCACTTGTATGTGACTAGTTTCAAAACTAATACAGAACATAACTTGATTAAAGTTCAGAAGCCTGAATTTGACAAGAATTTACTAAAAACTCTATTTCCATTGCTAAAGCTCTGTTTTAAATCCTAAAACTTAACACTAAATAAATACCAGACCAGTTTCAAGGGAGTCAATATATGAAACAGACTATGACAAACTTGTCTGCAGTTAGTTATAGGGTTTAAACTCCCTGACCTGAGACCTTTGATCCTAGACTTCTAGATGTTCTGAACTATCCCCTACCACACCACCTAGCCTGCAACGTTACAGCTCATTTACTGCTTCTTGGGAAACAAGAATCAAAACACAGTTTTAATCAATATGGCAATAAACAAAATTAATTGTCCAATTGGAGTACATAGTTATGAGCTTATGTTGCTTAATTTGAAAGTCATCAATAACACCTCCTGTCTTGAAAGCAACAGTCAGGAAGTTGAGCTTGTTTGCAACTTTTAGTAGGTACAGGTTAGCTCATTAACCCAAAGGATATCATCTTCCCTGTACCGAAAAGGTGTTTGAACATTACACAAGAACACTCAGTGAGTATCTGAGTGACCATGTTTCTGCTGCACCTCTCTCTTAAACAGGCTTTTCTTTTCCTTTTAAGATGCATGGAACAATACTTACAGAAGTGAGTTCTGAAGAGGCCACCCATATTATATCGACGAGGAGAAGAATGACGATTCCTAGAGCCATTCGCCTGCGTTGAGTGGATGAACTGCTCTGGGAGCTCATTCGGTTCATGACAAACACCCACACCATTTGTGACCTGTTCAAGACAAAGGAATAAACCCCAAAAGTTTAGAAACAGTGACAAAAAAAAAAAAAAAAAAACCGAACTAACCAAACCAACCAACAAACCAGTGGGGGCATGTATTTCACATATACGAAATTGACCTAATATGCTAGGAAACACATGCTTATGTTTGTTAAAAAGCAAATCTTTGACAGATCTGGCATGCGATTTTCAGAGACATTAGGGACCATTAAATTCTTAAAAGGTCAAGACTGTCTATCAACTGTTCTACAACTTAAGTGAGCAAAAGCAGGTATAACATACAATGCCTTTTTGGAATTTCTACGCTATGAATTCTGCAAAATTTGAAACCACTATGTTTTGGCAAATTCAGATACTCTAAGCTGACAGTAGAAATTAGTTTGACGTGTTGTGTCAAATACAATTCCACTAAAGGCAGTGGAAGAAGCATGCAACTCAAACATTCAACAAACGTATCTGAAGATACAGCAACACATTTGTGTAAATTATGATTTCTCAAAGCATAACATGATGCAAGATAAAAACATTCAAAAATTTAATTGTAAACTTACAAAACTCAATTACATATGCACTTAAAATAAAAAACAATTATATTACTATTTATTAATCTATGAAATACAGGCACAAACCAATTCTAGTAACAACCTATCAAAGTAAGAGTAAGCACACAATAGATGCAACAGAAAGCTTGCCTGTAAAAAAAAAAAAAATTAAAATTATTGATAATGATTTTGACTGTGCCTTGATGTGTTACACACAGGAATCATCAGTTAAGAACACTTCATATTCTCAGGAATCAAAATGACAGCAGTAATGTAGCTTTAAAGTTGTCATCTACCACAAGTCAGGCAGCCTGGCCAGCAATCCCAGCATAAGCGAGTGAAGGTTCTGAAACACAAACCCGCTTCCCTTTTCCCAGAAACAGCTCCTACAAGTCTTTGTGCAAGGTAGTAAAAGAAAGGACTCAATTTAAGCAATTCTAGTGAACTACCAGAAGAGCACAGTCGGGTTTAAATGCTTACAGCCAACTGCTGTTACATACTAGAAGAGTAAGAGTAAACTGCTCAATAGAAAATTCTGAAGATATGGCTTGAGCTGCAGAAGTTCCTATTAGTTAAAACATTAGAATTTATGCAGGAGATGAGCACTACACCAGTGCACAAATAGATCATGAACAACATCCTTTCCTTCTCCTTCAGGAGGCAGAGTAATGCTATACTCAATGCACAGAATAAACACAGGAGAACAGAACTGATTGTGTTTGGATTAGCAAGAAGTGGTACATTGTGACTTTAGAGGGCTTGACTGTGCAAATTGTACCAACAGTACATATTAACAATACTGAAAACACTGAAGTTATGGTAAGAGATCATTAATCTAACTTTTAAAAAAAAACAAAAGACAAGGCAGACAAGCTTTTAAAAGTGTTGCAAGCCAAAAAAAATAAGACCCACTAGACGTACTCCAAACAAGTGCTAATCATGAGCATAACAGAGCTCCACTAAAGCTACCAGAATGGGATTCAGGTTTGTGATACGGCTTTATCGCTTCAAATTAGAAGACCTAAAATTATGAAAACTTCTAATTTTATGAACAAAAAGCTTCAAATATAAGTAAGAGGCTGATGTTTCTTTCATTGGTCTACTTGTACTATAATCTTTTAAATACTCTTAAATGAGACTCAGTAAGATATGTATATTGTAATTCTATAATTAGCATTAATTCGTAATAAATTGCTTCTAAAAATACACACTCAATGAATTTAATTTGCTAGCAATTACATAACTTACCTTGTTTATCATCATAAACTCAAATATTCCCTATCTTTGTGAGAAATCTTCAAGATGTAAATCCTAATCCACCTTTATGAAGCATCTCCTGACTCTCAGAGAACAGAGGTGATCTGCTTTGCTAATACAGTTCAGTGAATTTCAATTGCACTTTGGTTTTCCACAGTGTCAATATATAAACACTTCCCTTCTTTTCATTATTTATGAAAGAGACAATGCCACAATGTTGCCAGTGAGGAAGCTACATTTCTTTTTTCCAGACTGGCCTATTCCAGAGATCAATGCTTTAAATACCTATATAGGCCCAAGTGCATTTGAGATCACTGCACTGCTCCCCACCTTTACTTGTACCTCTCCTTCGCAATACAGTCTCTGCCATCTCCAAACCTTGACACTTTTTCCTCCATTTCTCAAAGGCTTCTTTCCAAAATAAAATCAACAGGCAGGGCTCCTACGTATAATTATACCACTAGATCTATGCATATATATTCCATGTGTGGGCAACAGTTCTGGATAATTATTCTGTTTTTCTGATAAAACGTTGGGATTGACAAAAAGCAGAAGTCTGTAAGTAGGGAGTGGCAAAGTTATGAAAGACTCAGCAAGGAACTGCAATTTTTATTTGATAAGGAATAACGGAGAAAATATTTGTTCTCAAATACAGAATAAGCAAATATTATCTTAAACTCGAGTAAGCTAACAAAGATTTTCATGCTTGAAAGCTTATAAGAGGTTTTGGTTTTTTTTTTATGAGCTGGTTTAATAGATACTACATATTATACTCGACAAACTTTGCCTTCATTGTATTATGACTAATAGCCTACAAGCCATTATATTATATGTAGCCTAGAAATTGCTCATGTATTTGTGCAATATGCAGCAAAAATGGAAGTTGAGCATAAAAGAGTTTCAAATGAGCTAGAAGGAAGAAATCTCTTTCCTAGTCCGGCTATGGTGTGACACATGAAGAGTGGTAACGTGTACCAGAAATGGAAACCACTCCAACCTGGAGCAAACTGGAGCAAACTGGTGGAAGGCTGGAGAAAGAAAGGTAGGCAGAGATAGAAAGGAATCACAGTGGCCTGGGGAAAAGGCAGCTCTAGAGAGACATTACAGCAACCTTCGGTAGTTAAAGGGGCATATAGGAAGGCTGGGGAGGGACTTTTTACAAGGGTGTGTAGTAACACAAGAAGGTGTAATGGCTTTAAATGGAAAGGGGGTAGATTTAAATTAGATGCAAGGAAGAAATTCTTCACTACAACGGTGGTAAGACACTGGACCAGGTTGCCCAGAGAGGCTGTGGATGTTCCATCACTGACTATGTTCAAGGCCAGGTTGGATGGGGTTTTGAGCAACTTGGTCTAGTGGGAGATGTCTCTGCCCATGGCAGAGGGGTTTGTGACTGACTAGATGTCTTTAAATTCCTTTCCAACCCAAACCATTCTATGATTTTACAAACAATCTGACATCTCTACATCAGATGCATATATATTCAAAGCATATAGCACATATACACTGTGCATAGAGATCTTGCACAGATATCATGCACATCCTGTAGTTGCTTAATATTGTACTCAACATGTCTACATCAGGTTTGTACAAATCCCTTGCTTTAAGATCCATCAACATGAGGGAAGGAAAGGATTATAGACTATCCAATACTTCTTAGATAAGAGGTTGCATATTAAGTTATTCAGAGTATAAGTACACATTGCACCATTTCCTCTCCACCTGTGATAAACAGATTTTAAAATTCTAATTAAAGAGCCCATGCTTATGTCTTGAAGTTTTTTATATGTTACCATAATAGGAGCTATCAACTCCTCATCTGACTCCAAAGTGCCTGTTTAACATTTGTGCCTAACACAGCACTTTACTTGATTCTTCCATAACCAGGAAAAAAGCTTAACATGAAAGGGTGATGACAAAGTTTTCATCATGCAGCACAATCCACCGTCAAAGTAGTAGCTGACTAAAAAAATGAAAAAGCAGCAATATTATTTGCCTATAATGCTCAGCAGGA